TATAACAGGCCTCTCGTTATAACAAACATTCAGAAATTCCATTAAATTAGGAATGAGACACAATATTTGATAAAGTAACCAATAATATGAAGAACTGCTCTATTTTGTCAGTCCACACATAGTTGTGTGGGCACAGTTCGATTGTACGATTACAGAGGAAATGAACTAGAAAATGAAGTGAGTTTGATATTAATGAAAAGAGTACAAATCTCTGCATCTTATTGCAAGAAATAAGGATAAAGCGTCTCATGAATAGTGCATTACTTTATAACCCTATTTTCCAATTTACTATTGTAAGCGTTTCCTTAAGGGTTTTCAGTATTCCATTAATAGCATAAAATTTTGTTAGATCCTTCTGTTGTATCTAAATAAAATGCATTATATGGCCTTCCTATATGTCTTCATTTGAAATAACTGCAAAGTTTTGAAGTGAAGAGCAGTGGAACATATTTTATATGGTTTACTGATGACATTATTCCTTAGAAATAAAACGATAATTGTCAAACAAATTATTTGTGGTGATTATCTCACAATTGGAAAAGCTTCAATGTGAATCTCATCAAGTGAGTTACAGCCTAATATTTATCAGTCAAAAGTGGCTACAGATTGCTATTTTACTCTTGCTATTTGTGACTTATAATAATAATTCTTGCATTTGATGTAGTGCCTTATCACATCTTCGAGACTTCTCAAATATACGGTAAAGTGAATTAACTGTATATTTTGTGGGCGAAACGCGGCAGCCAAATTCGCACAGCAGATTTCGTACCAAACTTACCCATATCAGACTTCATCTGAACTCCTTGATAAGATTTCTTCCAGATATCCCTTCTATAATCAATATACCTGAACATTTATGATGTAATAACACATTTAATGTGTCTTATTTGACTTAATATACAATCAAATATATTGCAGCTTAATTTTATTCTATTTTTAATTATTTGTAATCATTTATTACAGATTTATAGATTTAATTTGATAGGCTATCAATTATGTTTATGCCCTAAAATGTTTTTTGGGGGGCTTTAAGACTGGTAAAGGGCTAGATAGTTTTTCATAGTTGTGGCAGGAAGATATCTCCCCTTGTGACCTGAAGGGTTACATTTTTTTGTGGGTCTGAGAATTGTGATACATGAACACCTGCCCCAAGAAAGTGTGTTTATCATATAGTGAGCAATGTGTTTGTCCTTGTCAGCATTTTTAAACTAGAGTATAATCATTGTGAATTCATCAGTATTCAGTGCGATGCAGCAGCAATTCAACACTGATATCCACCCACTCAATTCTTCGCTTGCTCAGTTCACCAACCAGCCGTGCACGTCCTCAGGTAAATTCACTGAACGGAGAATAGCAGCTTTCCACAATCGATGCCGACTCCTAATACACATCCGAATAGGCAGATCAATGAGCTGTGCTGGAGGCCTGGCCATGGACAGCAATAAGGTAACAGTGCATGACACAGGTGGCCCTAAAAGAGAGAGAAATAAAATAGATTCATGAGACGAGAAGCAAGAAATTGCATCAGTCAGTGATGGCTGTATAAAATGATAGCCTAAATATTTCATTTTATTTAAACTCATTTTAATGCCATTTCAGTCAGCGACTCTACCAATGCAAGGTCAAGAGTTGACTCATCATATTTTGATCTGGACCAGCCGAAAGATTTCCGCGCAGACTAGCGTAGATTGAAATTCAGCTGGGAGCGCATGACTCATGTCATCATGTTTTGTACTGGAGGTAGTCCAGCTGTGTAACGACAATTTGGTGCAATAACAACTGAGCCAAGGCAAGAGTTTTACAAGTTACTGTAACCCAGCATGGATTTACATCCACAATTCCCTCTATGCATCCACGATCTCAGCCTGGTTAAAGAAACAGTGAGCAGAAATTTTGTATTTTTGCCATAGGGAAACAAAGTAATGGGAAAGACAGGTTACCTCCCCATTACTGTATACCACACAAAATAAAGTCACACCACTTTATAGTATGTCTTGTGAAATGTTTTGAGATGTCTCGATGATGTGATAAAGCGTTATGTCAAAAGAAGGGGTATACCACACATCTTCCAGGTCATTAAAGGACCAAAAATGAGGCAAGACATTATTAAAGGGAAATTGTAAACAGAACCTGGAATAGTGGTTTAAGACCAATAGTAATCGAACAAGAAAATCAGTATTGCTGATTTCTGTACCTACATCACCTGCTTTGAAATGAGTAAACTTTTTAATACATACTGATCCTGGAGTAATGCAGAAAAACTATTTGTGACCTGCAGGCAATGGTAATGATTTATTCAGTCTGTGAGTTTGAATGCTTCCAGCTAATGCAATTGGGACAGAATAGTGATTTTTAAATAAAATATATCTTTCTTCAGAGTAGATATTCAAAGCAGCACTGGGCGCTGATACTTTCCTATTTCAGGGAAGATTGCAAAACCAATTTAGCAAAGAAATTTGCAGCTAAGATTTTTATCGCTTTGATCAAGTGCATTCAGATAAACTAGGGTTCTTCAGGCTCGAAAAAGACATCTCATAGAGGAACTTATTAGAGGTATAAAAGTTGTTAAACTTTTGATAGTATTCCAAGATGTGTGTAAAGTCAACCGAATGAGAAATCAATCTGAAGATTACTTAATCTGAATCTCCTTTGCAATGTGAAAATGTGCACTCCCCATGTCATGTCATGCTATTGCATTCTCTGAGAGGAATATGATTGTGCAAGTATTCATTTGAAGTTGTCGGGAGTTATTGAGAGAGCTATAACAACAATTTGCATTTATATAGTGCACTTCACAGAGGGTAGCATCTTGGAGTGCTTAACGATGTTATGTGGTAAACAAGGATTTTAGATTTGAGTTAGTAAGATTGAGGGAATATGCAGATAGAGTTAGATATAATAAGAAGCAGGTCACGTTTGAACTTGTCTAAGGCTGCAGGAAAGAGAGACTGGATTGGAGATGGGTGGGCTATATTAAAGATGGCATGGTGGCAACTGGAGTAGGTGGTTTGGAGAAGAGGAGGGAGAGAAGTGGATTGGAAAATTGGGAGATGCAGAAAAGGCAACTACCCTTCTTTGGGGGGTAAGTAAGCGGGATAAGATGATTTCTTAAACTGGCTCCAGGATAACAAGCTTATCATCTGAATGTTGGAACCAAGACAACCATCTATAGCAGTCTCGGTACAACAACAACAATTTGCACTTATAAAGCACCCTCCACGCAGGGTAGTGTCTCAGAGCACTTAACGTGGTGGAGCCTGACTCCGAGCCGGGGGGAGGGGGGAGTTGGTCGAAGTGGACGGTTTTCAGGCGGGACTTGAAAAGGGGGATCGAGGGGGCAAGGCAGAGGGATTGAGGGAGAGTGTTCCAGAGCTTCAGGGAGTAACGGCTCAAAGAGCAACCTCCGATGGTGGGGCGGAGGGTGCAAGGGACGAGCAGGAGGCCGGTGCCAGTCTAGCGGAGACGCCGGGTGGTGGATTGGGGAGTGAGGGGATCGGAGAGGTAGGGAGGTGCCAGAGAGTGAATGGATTTGAACACGAGAGTGAGGATCTTGAAGTTGGTTGATCATTCCAATTAAGTTTCAAATCTAGTGATTGGTAATGGATCCTTGTTAACATTTACAATTCAATTAGCAAAGCAAAAAAGGATTTCACAAATTGTTCTCTTTAAGCATTGAGTTCGATTCTTGCGCACTTTATGTTCATGCCCCTTAACCAACATCCAGAGTTATGGAAGGAGGGCCTTTTTTTGTCTCTCGCATTCAGATTAGACGCTTGGAGACACCCGGCTTTGGAAAGAAATGTGGCCCCATTTGAGCCGAGCCATAAATTCCCCAGTCTGCATCCTGAGCCGTGCCTGAAGCTGTCGTTGCCCAAAATGCAAAAGTGTTTGATTCAATCCAGAGTGTACACCGCGCCAGCATCGAGGCCATTTACAATGCATTTTGCTCGGGGGACAATCAATACTGTCGCGCGATCTGTGCCCCAGATAGTAGATGAATGGAAACAGTCCAGACCCCACTAACAGGGAATGTTACTGTTAATGTTGCAGCCTGGCTCTGTCTCACACACACAATCACACGTACACAATCACACTCACAATCACACACACACAATCAATCACACACACAATCAATCACACGCACACAATCAATCACACACACACACAATCACACAATCACACACACACAATCAATCACACGCACAACAATCAATCAAACACACACAATCAATCACACACACAATCAATCACACACACACACAATCAATCACACAATCACACACACAATCAATCACACACACAATCAATCACACACACACAATCAATCACACAATCACACACACACAATCAATCACACACACAATCAATCACACAATCACACACACAATCAATCACACACACAATCAATCACACACACACAATCAATCACACAATCACACAATCACACACACACAATCAATCACACACACAATCAATCACACACACACACAATCAATCACACAATCACACACACAATCAATCACACACACACAATCAATCACACAATCACACACACAATCAATCACACACACACAATCAATCACACAATCACACATACACAATCAATCACACACACAATCACACACATAATCACGCACACACTGCAGCTATTCATTGATTTGCGACAATTTCAATGCAGGGAAGAAGTTACGTTAAGTAAAGAGCGGCAGGCAGCTGAATTACTGATCATTAACCAGGGGAATTCACCCCAAAGGTTAGCATTTTAGAGACGCTCTTGAATGTGCGAATTGTGGAAATGGCGCATGCGTGATCCAGGCACTGTTGGAGAAAGTGTTGCTGATTGAATCTAAGGCACAGCCTCATCACTGTGTGTGTGTGTGTGTGCGTGTCTGTCTGGCCTTTTTATCAGCAATGCACAATGTCTGTAATTAATTTAAGCAGAATGAAAGCAGCTCTACTGCCCTGATCTCTTTATTCTCTCTCCCTCTCTTTATTTGCAGAGAATCAGACTCAGGGAGCTGGGACCCTAAGGGCTGTGAAACCGTGCACACGAAAGCAACATACACTAAATGTCTCTGTAATCAACTGGCTACTTTCGCCATTTTAGCCAAGCGACCGAGAGATTCAGTGAGTATTTCAAAAATTATATATATATATATATATATATATAAAAACATTAAAGACTGTGATTAAGCTTCACACCCACGAGGGAGTGAGCTTTTGGGGGGGGATGTTTGAAAGAAAATGCTCGTCCCGTAGGGAAATGCAATGGTCCAGTATTTGCAATTAATATTGCCCAGGAAAGCTTTATTAGCAAAGAGCATATTGCAATGAACTTGTGTGATATAATAGCCCGGTTCTGAATTCAACTGGTTTAGCGGCTTAATTGCAAAACTGCCCCACTTGAGATGATGTCTTAATTTAAGGGTCTGTGGGATGCTGTCAGCAGAGGTTCAAGCTGGTGAAATTAGGAATCATTTGTGCCTGAGTTGACCGTGAACTTCGACCCCTCTGGCTGGTATCATTGATCATTGACTTCCCTCTGGTAGCGAGGTGGAACATGGCTTTTTTAGATACAAATAAAAAGGAAAATCAGGTCGATAGTCACATTTTTTTTTAAAAAAAGCACAAACGACATGACGGTCCTAGCAGCAGAGATTGCTTTGTTGGTATTCATTTAACACAGGTGACCATCTCACCTCTGGATCCATCTGCTCGTCGATTTGATGGTTTCCAGATTGTGTTGTGATTAGAGCAAGCAACTAACTGCAACTGGGGTACGTCAGCTTGGGGCAATGGGTCTGAACAACAGCAGGCCAGAGCCAGTCGAGAGGAGGTGGTGGATGGTGGAACAGGGAAGGAGTAACTACATGACAGAAGCCCTGTTTGTGCATTCCATTGGACCCACAAGTTGCTTAATTGCGACAACACGGCAACTTTCAATCGTATAATGGGCAGCCGTATGTGTTTAAACGTACTGACGTAAAAAGTAATGGAAAAGGGTCTAATAGATTAAGCAACAACTTGCGTTTATATAGAGCCCTTCATGCGGGATAGGGTCCATGAGTGCTTAACAGTGGTAGAGCCTGACACTGAGCCGGGGGTGGAGTTGGGAGGAGGTGATCGCCGTTGAAGAGGAAGGTCTTCAGGCGTGATCGGAAAATGGGGAAGAAGAGGGCAAGGCGGAGGGATCGAGGGAGAGAGTTCTATGTTTCGGTCGCAGTGGCTGAAAGCCCGGCCACGAATGGTGGAGTGGACGGGATGAGGGACGAGCAGCAGGCTGGAGCCAGTCGAGAGGAGGTGGTGGATGGTGGAGCAGGTCAGAGAGGAAGGGATTTGTAGAGGAGTATGAGGATCTTCAAGTGGATCTGTTTTGTGATTGGGAGCCAGTGGAGCCTGGGGATACCTGGCGTGACAGTGGAGTTGGGTTGAGGACAAATATAACAGCTGCAAATTGCAAATCAGGAGTGCACAGTTGATCCTGATTTGTAATGTTGGGGATTGGTGCTGGGTTTGATAGTAGCTGATGGAAGGATTCTTGGGGGAGGGGTGTTTCAGGATTTTTGGGGGGCTGATTTTTACGTTTAAGCTGATTTGACGATAGTTTTTTTCTTGAACTTAAACTTCAATTTTGACTGAGAAGGGCAGTGAAACAGCGTAATACATCATGAAATGTCAAAAATAACTCCACAGGGAAGAGATTGGGACCCTGAGGTTAGAGTCACATTATAAATAATATTTTACATATTTCATTTTCATCAAAGTGCCCCTGTAAGTCTGACCTTTGTGAAAATATTTGACATTGCTTTTGAGGTCAAATGGAGCTTATGATTATATGGTTCTTTCTGCTTGATTAATTTAACACAAGATTAAAGGATGGTGCTCTCATGGTTAAAGGTCTTGCAGGACACTATCAGGTCTATACATGGAGCCAGGTGTGCTAANTTTTTTTTGCCAGCAATCATTTCTCATGTTAATGTTCTTTAAAAAAGGATTTTAAAAAATTGAAATGACATTGAAACACTACTGCAAGAATTTCTCCTGATATTCATCACTTTGCTTGTCGTTGAGAAGTGCTGGAAATATACAGTCAATTCACTTTACAGTACATTCTGTGAAGCGCTTTGAGACGTCTCGAAGATGTGAAAAGCGCTATATCAAATGCAAGGATTATTATTATTATTATCTAGAAAGAAGTCTTGTCAAAAAAGCACTTAAACATCCTTTAAAATTATCGTGCTCCTTTTTTTGCTGTAAATTTTAGTGATTCCACCCAGTAGCAGCAATCAGGCACTCCTGAGTCAAGAAAAAGGACAGGAGGGATAGAGATTAAATCTTCTGCTCGGGGACACAAAACAATTGAGGAAATTGGGTAAATTCTAGTGATTGTGCCGAGAATCCCCATCTGGCATATGTAGGTCAACTAAAGGATGAATTAGATGGAGAATAAATCCATGCCCTGCCTCAGCCATCATGGAGTGCACTTTACAGTATATCGTATTAGGCACTTTGGGATGACCTCCTGATGTGAAAGGCGCTGTTTCAAATGCAGAATTACTCTTATTAAATTTCCCCCAGGTGTGAGTGAGGAGATCTGAAGACTAGTCACCCATTTTGTCCGTTTGAAAGGGTGGAAGTGATGCAGCCATCTGTGCAAAAATCATAGTCCCTGATTACTTTTGAACCTGCTTGATTTCTGTTAGTATAGATCAACAGTGGAAAAAAATACACGTGCACTTATACAGCTCACATCTGCTCCTCACATACGATGAATCACCATCAGAAATGTTGGGGCGAAGGAAAGCAGATGTCAACCACAGAATTATATAAAATGCCTGGTTCCAGCTTTCTTCAACCAAAAGTGAATCCTATTAAGTTGCCTACTTTTGCTAATGGTGGTAGCCCAGCTTAGTGGGTCATACTACCAACTTACATGAAGTTGTGGGTTCAAGCTTGATGTCAGAGCTTTGAGTTCATAGTCTTGGCTGACACACCAATGTATTGTTGGGAAAGTACTCATTGTCAGATGTGGTGTCTTTCGGATGAGACATTAAAACAAAATCCTATTTGTCTATTTAGATGGATGTTAGAAGAGCCATGACCCAATTCAAAAAGAGAAGGGAATTTCTTTTGGTGTCCTGATCCCAAGATAAAATTGATCATTCACTTATTACCATGTGAAAATTGGCTGCCATATTCATCTACATGTGCACAGTCACTGCACTTTACAGACAAAAACTGACATATTTTAAGACAATTCGGTCTAATAGGCACTATGTCAAATGTAAGAATTATTATAGCATCCAGTTGGAACACCGAAATATGTCATTAACCAGCAGCTTGATCAACAACTTGAGTTTCAATATTTAGATTTAAAAACAAATCTCACAAATATTTCAAAATTGGAGCAAGAATGGAGAAAAATGTACATTGCTTTTATACTGTGTCACAGGATACTCTGAAACAGTGGCATGGACACTGGCTGTTGCTCATTGTGCAGTCACAACCTAAACATTCCTGATCCCATGAGTTTCGTTAGAGTTGTTGGTTGGTACGTGCCACGATCAAGTGACTTATCTGTATATTCACTGGGGTACTGTGGGAGTTAAAATGAATCTTAGCTCACAATTACTTGGTTACTCAGAGATAACTCCAGCAGGTAAGAGGTCTGAATTGAGGGATGACAAGGTCAATTAAGGTTCTCTTGATGTGTAATCTTCACGAAAGGGTATTCACGTTTCATTTCATAAAAATGTCAAAACATTTTATTCAATTGTTACCTTGTGGAACATTGCTGTGTCCAAAATTAGCAGCCACTTTCGCCTACACTGAGATTTACAGTAACATCCTATAAAGTGCTTTGGCACATCCTCGCGATGTGAAAGCTGCAAAATCTAATCCAAGGATGATTATTATTTTCTGGGATTCAGTACTGTCTTGTATCATTGAGGGGGTGTTGATACTGTTAACAAAAAGTAAAGATGTCATCCTCATAATCTGGGATCAGATGAGAGGGATATACAGGAATTGTTTAATTAAGAAAATGTCTTCTTATAAAATTTGTGTGTATCTTTAATAAAGTTTCTCATTTTGTGTTCTTCACACACACACAAATTGGGGCAGAAATTCTACATGGGTCCAGATTTGCTCTTTATTTATGTAGCATTTTAGAGCATTGGGAATTTGGCAAATTCTTCCATACAGCCTTAAATTTGAAGTGGTTTTCTGTAAGTTATTTTAAGAACTATAGAAAAGTTAAAAGGCTTCAAAGTTATAACTGAATTCAATAATGTGCGATTTTCTGCACTCGCTGAAATGCTAAAGAAATAGAATAAAACTAGAACCAGGTCGAATTTCTCCTATTTGTTACTGCTATCTTCAATATTTGAAATGATTGTGACTTTCGTGAATAAATCTTCAGTTCAACAACAACAACAAAATTACATTTATAGAGCGCCTTTCACGTCGGGAGGACGTCCCAAAGCGCTGAACAGTCAGGTGTCGGGGCCCGAGCGTGGGGGAGGGGTGGTTTAGGGGTGGGGGAAGGCAGAGAGGTGGGAGGGTGACCAAAGGCAGGATAGAAGGGTCTCGAGACCGGCCTTGAAGGAGGTAATGGAGGAAGTGAGGCGAAGGGATTGTGGGATGGAGTTCCAGAGTGTGGCTGAAAGCCCAGCCACCGATGTTAGGGCGGGTCGGGCGGGAGACATGGAGCAGACCGGAGCCCGCTGAACGGAGGGAGCGGGCAGGTTGGTTGGGAGTCAGCAGGTCAGAGAGGGAGGAGGGGGCAAGGCCATGGATGGCCTTAAAGGTGAGGACGAGGAACTTGAACTCGATCCTCTGGGGGATGGGGAGCCGGTGGAGTCGGGCGAGGGTGGGAGTGATGGGATCACGGAGCCTGGTGCATGAGAGTACACAAGCTGCATCAGGTTTGGATGATCTGCAGCTTGTGAAGGGAAGAGTTGGGAAGGCCGATGAGGAGGGAGTTCCCGTAATCGAGCCTTGATGTGACGAATGTGCGGGTGAGGGTTTGGGCAGCCTGAGGGGTGAGGCAGTGGCGGAGTCTGGCAATGTTGCGGAGGTGGTGGTAGGCAGTGCCGGTCATGGCGCGGATGTGCCGGTTCAGTGCT